AAACAATTTGCATAAATACTTGCGGTATATTTTAAGGGTTGAGAAAGACACTATTTAACTTGAGAATGATTAAAATTTATACATTTTCAAAGATAGAGGAACAAAAAAATGGCGTTTGTTTTTTTAGCGGAAATTGTAAATAATGTTTTTCTCTTCGTGGTTGACATTTGACGTTCATTGTCTTTTTTTACGTTTAACTAGGAATATATGAGAATAAAAAAAAACAGTTTTTATCGCATTGTTTAGTGTTAGAAAATACATTCAGAAATGACTTTGTTGCTTTATGATCATTTATACAATGGAGTGATTTACATATAAAGCATTTATTAACTTGGATCAATTGGATAATTAATTAATTTTGAAAGAAATATTTGAAGAGTTTGAGAATATTTTTTTTTTGGCAAATTTCTTTAGTAGAAAATGAGTGTATCGCTTTTTTTCTTTTTTTTTCATTGGCAGACAACAAAGTTTCCCGAGAGACCATAATATGGCCACAAGAGGGAACTTGGTTAGATACTAATTGTGTCCACTGGCAAGCCACAAGCAGGATTGCAACGTGGAAAGTGAATTCAGAATGTTGACGTTAATAATAAATAGTCGTGGCCTGGACCAAAAATGGGATTGTTGAGTGGAAAGCGCGCACGGTGAAAAGTCGAGAGTACTGTTTTATGATAGAATATTATTCACAATGTAGGAGAAAAAACGATTATATTTATGATCTAGAATTATTATTTATACCCATTAATATTGCATGTAATTAAATTGACAGTATTGAGAGAGAGATATCTTCACTTTCAATTTCAACCTCAATTGACACTAATGAATTCATCGATATAGAAATTCCATTATTTATATAGCGAAAAAGAAAAGAGAGGCAATAATTATTACTCTTGTAAATTTCTTTATAAGCTTGATTCTCATTTCGTTGAAAATGGGATATTTTTAATTAATCAAAATAGTAATTAACTATAAAAATCAATTAATTTTTTTTACTTAAGGAGGCGTCAAAAAGATGGTGCTAATTCGAATCGACTTTGAGAGCCCCTTAAGAATAGTATTGAATACATGCAATAAATTACAATTATTAATGTAAAGACTATATGAAATAATAGCTGTACGCAATTTTTAAAAAGAAAAAGATTTATATTTGATGAGGAGATAAACAATTGAGAAAAAAATTAATGACTGGTTTTGAGTGAAGGAATGCAATCGTGACTAAAATCATAGCGCGGAACGACCTCGAACTTCCTACTTTGATCGCCATGTATAACCTAGGTCGACGTACTTGAAGGAGCAATTATATATTCTCGATAGAATAATTATATATATATGTGTGGCAGTTTCATTATGTATTAGGGGAATGGCTTCGACACATTTGCATGTCGATTTGTCATTTAAAACAATAATTTTCATTTTAGTTCTCAAACACCCTCTCTAAACAACTATAAAGCCGGATAGTAGTAATTTTCACTTATTTGCCTATTATTTTTCTTTTTTGACTATATAAATTAAAAATATAAATAAAATTAAAAATTTTACACCTGTGAAAAATTAAAAAACAAATTCAGTTAGTTAAACAAATTTTAGTTTTTATTAACCTTTAGAGGGCCGGTAAATTTGCACAGATTTTAGTACCCAGTGTGCAAAGTTACAGAATAATTCTATAACTATTCTAGAACAAAAAGAACAAGTTCTGTAACTGGTGAGGAACAGGCAGGTCAAAATGTCGTCCCCCTGGAGACACAAAATAGGAACCAAAGTCTGTAACAATTCTAGAACAAAACTAGAACCTCTAAAGGTTAACCTTAATTTTTATTTAAAATTTAAATTTGATATTTAATTATTAATTAATTAAATTATTAATTAATTAAATATCAAATTTAAATTTTAAATAAAAATGAAGTAAAATTTTTAGGTTTAAACAAATTGTATATAAAAGTTAAAAAAAAAATTCCTAGTAAACAATTTAGAAATTTGAATAAAATGTAAACAATATGTATAAATTAGTTGTACATACAAGAAAAAAGTATTAATAATTTAATATACCTGTCGATATATATTAGAGTGGTTTCTTATTAAAATTCAAAGCGGAAGTTTAAAGTTTTATAGATTCTTGGAAAACGGATGAATTATTCAGGTTGAGATAAATTAATCATTTTCTTATATAATTCAATGAATTAATGTTATACAATTTTATTTTCGATTCTAACCGATGGCTTTTCGTTTGAAATTAAATTCTTTTTTTTAATTAAAGTCTTTTTTTTTGTAGTTGAAAACTTTTGCGAAAGGTATACAAATTTTTATTATACAGTATTTTTGTAAATTACTATTATTTTATTTTTTTCGTATTATTATTATTTTTATTGTTTAATTTTTAAAAAGAAACGAACGTTTTAATATCAATTTTGTAAATTGTTTACAAGTTGTTTAGTAAAACAATGCAAATTAACGAATGTTTTATAATCATGAATTGATCTGGTACGTCTTTTTAATTTTTATGAGTGTGATTCTTTAATTGTATTAGTACTACACACGCCTACACGTGTATAGATAGATAAAGTAAGTGCGGAGAAAGCGCGATTCGTTTCTTGGCGTTCATATATGTATATATATACACCTTGTCTACAAAGCATAATCAATATATATATATATATATATATATAGGTATATAAACGTCATAGAGAGAATTCCACGTCTCAATTTCCAAAAAATATATATATATATTCAATCAAGAAAGCCTGACATCGCACAAATCTCTTTTCAATCTTAATTAGTTCTCGCTATACATATATATATACAGAGTGAATCAAATTCAGATAAGTTTCTCGCGATCACTTATGATCTTGTGAGTAAAAGTCTCGATTCATCATAGAATCTCGAATCAGTGATGATAATATATTATAGAAAGTTAGGTAACCAAGAAAGGTAGTCATATGTAAAATATATATTCAAAGGCTTAATTTTGTAGTAAAAAGTGGCCCAATTTTTTTTTCCTTTTGCGTTTTAGAATTTAAAATCTTTTAATTTTTGAAATTATAGAAATTTCAGATTAGAAACGTTACTCTCTAAAGAATTAGTAGAATTATTTTGAATTTGTTATACTGGATTTTTATTATAAATTAAGGTCCTAAAAATAGAAAAATAATTATAAATTAACTAAATTTCACTGAAAGAAATATATATTTTATTAAAATTTAATTCTTAGCAAAACCGAGAGGAAAACATTTTAGAATTGTACCAATTCAGTACTTTTAAAATAGTTTATAATGTTATAGATTTTGAATTTTATTAATTTTCATATTATTAAAAAAGTAATTCTTAAAATTTTTTAAACCATGTTTATGGTACTTTTTACGTGATTCTACTTTTTGTACTAGATTTTTTTTAAACGTTGGACAATTTTTTGGAGTGTTCTATTAGCACTTTATTCACAGTCCAGTGAAAATGAAGTTTTTGTGCTATAAATGTTCAAAAATATTTCTTTTTTTAAAAAAACATGACATTGTTTTATTGTATTTTTGGGGTCACTGAATTCAAATCCGTAGTCGAAAATCCAAAATTCAAATGTCAACCAAAAAAAATATTCAAATCCGTGGTCGAAAATCCAAAATTCAAAATGGCAACCAAAAAAATTTTTTTGGTTGACATTTTGAATTTTGGATTTTTGACCACGGATTTGGATTCAACGCCCCTAAAAACCTCCGAGTAGGCGTTTTCAGACAGATTCGTTAACTTTAAATTTTTTTTTTGGTCGACATTTTGAAGCCGACATTTTGAATTTTGAATTTTTGACCACGAATTTGGATTCAACGACCGCGAAAACCCCCAAGTAGGCACTTTTAATCAGATTCGATAACTTTTAAATGTTTTTTTTTCGATGCTCCTATAGGGGTCATGGACATACAGGGCACGACATTTTTGTGCCTCTATAGAGGTCAGTGACAGTGAAGAAGGGGTTAAACTCTTAATGATCTATAAATTTTTGAAACGATCTAAAACTTTCGAAATTACATGCAAATGGATTTTTAAACTGATTGATCTTTTTGAATTAAAATTTTTTTTTTATTTAAGAGTTTAAAAAGTCATCCATTAATTTAAATTGTTAATAGTTTTTTTGTATATTTTCAGTCTTCTTTTGCTTTTAATTTTTAGTTTACTGTATTTTTGTTCTATTTACTATATTTTTAATAAAACTAATAAAAAATAAATTAATTGATTAATTATAATTAAATTAAGATTAAATTTAATTAATTAAATTAAATTAAATTAAATTAAATTAAATTAAATGAATTGAATTGAATTGATTTGAATTGAAATGAATTGAATTAAATGAAATGAGATTAAAATCAAAGTTTATTTTTGATTGAGTTCTTTTATTAACTGATTTTTAATTTAAAGTTTAATGAAGTTTTAGTAAAATAGTATTTTTTTACTAATTTAAATGAGATGTTAGTTAACTTAATAGTTAATAGATGGTTTTCGACTGAATCAAGTTTAGGGATTAGATCAAATTAATGCATATTTACATTGAGATTATTTTATAGTAATTTTTTTAAAAATGAGTACCACGTGAAACAGCGCGGCGTCAAAAGTTCTAAATGTCAAAATGAAACCTTGACTATATAGAAAAAAATCCATATGTATTTTTATGAAATAATTTCGTGCATGTTTTCTTGTACTTGCAATTCTATTTTGTAACAGACTTCTAGATCATTCAAAAGGTATGTCTGCTAATAGTGAATGTTTGCCATTGAGAAATCGATTTAATTGAACTGATTTTATTGAAAAATAAGATTATTTATTACAAAATACGAAGCAAAAGGTTTACACGCGAACATGCATGGAAATAAAGTTTCCCATGTTAATTTCATTTTGTTTTAATCATTCTTCTCATGTGCGCTTATATATGTTTCAAACCGAAGAAGTTTTTTTTCTAAAAGAAAAATTTTAGAAAATCCTTTTGTTAAATTTGAGGATAAAAGCTCGTTTGCAGGACTCACATTTTCAAAGTCACTCTCTCATGTCACAGAGATATCCTTCTCTCCTAGTGATAAGCCATTACTTCCAATTTCAATTGAATAGTTGTTCACGTGCCTTTTCAAAGATCCGATAGACACTCTCGGCACTTGTTGAACGTGAGACTATTTATTTTTTTTTTCTTTTCCCTTTTCGCGTTTCTTCTGTCAAGCACTGACAAATTTTTCGATTAATTTTCGTTTCTTTTTTTGCTATCGTTAGATGTTACGAAATCGATGACAATGGAATTTAAAAAAGAAATGGAGAGAGAAAAGAAAAAAAAAGCGCGCAAACGTGATAGAAACTAAAACGTTTCACGGTGAGAGGCCGATGCTCGACTGAATGCACGATGGATTCACATTCGCCCACCACCGACACTTGACCACTCACCCAATACCGATCGTTCATACTCAATGATGTGATCCCTTTCAAAATTATTTTCCGTGTCCAAAAAACCCCATGCTTCTAGCTCTTCTCAATCGCCCTTGAAAAGCTCTTCTTTTCCCTTGAAAAAGGAATCGGAAAGAAAATAAAACCTCGTATCAGTTCATTTGATGCAATTAAAACGCAAATTTGATACAGTTACCTAATAATTTTTTTTTAAAACCTGCGTCGGAAAATAGTGTCCTAAATTATTTTGGTTTTTAAATTGAAAGACTGTTTTAATTAAATAAAATTTATTATTAATTACTATATATGTATAAAAAGATTAAAAATACATAAAAAGGAACTTATAAACAAATTAAAAATACATAAAGAGGAACTTATAAACAATTATAAATATTTAATGTTAAAGGTAAATTAAATTTGATAATAATGACGTAGATTTCAATAATAGTCTTGCAATGAAGTCCTTGAATCAATGAGATATAAAAATTGAAGAACTGAATGAATGTAAACATTGCGTTAAGGTTTAAAATTTGAAAAATGATATTTTCTTGCCCTTTTGACAAACATTCTCTCTCTCACTCTCTCTCTTTCTCTTTTGAAAATGATAATGAGAAATGGAAGAAAAATGAATCGATTTTTAAACTTTATGTTCAAGGCTCAAATTTGAAATGCAATATTGATGACATTTATGATAAATTTCATTTCATAATAATTATTCCTTATTTCGTTCACGTTGAAACTATATTAAGGTCGGTGTTTCGGCAATTTTCCACTGTTAAAATTTTTGGCTCGTTGGCGATTAGTGTTTTTGTCTCATCCGGACATACTGTTATTCTGCAAAAGGAAATTATTTTAGATTCTTTGTAAATAACTGTCTTTACTATTTTCGGAATAAATTTTGATACACTCGAAGTAAATTTTAAGTTTTTATAAAATTTAACTAAAGCAACTAAAAATTTCGCTAAAATATTTGAAAATTAATGATTTTAAATACCTACAATTTTAATAAAATTCTACAAAAGAATTTTTATAAAAAAAAACTTTATAAAATTCTACCGCCAGAATTAAATTATTTTCACAAGCAATAACATTTTTCATGAAAATTCAATTATTTATGAAAATTTAAAAAAAAAAATTAGGCAAGAATACAAATATTTTCGCATAAATGATAAAATGCTTCTAAAGAATTCAATTATTTTCATAAATAATAAAATTCATCTGAGAAATTCAATTATTTTTTTTTTTAAATTGATAAATTCTTTAATTGATCACAATTATTCAATTATTTTTCCAAATAATAAAATTTTTCACGAGAATTCAATTATTTAAAATAAATTGTATAAAATTCTTCGCAAAAATTCAATTATTTTCATAAATAATAAAATTCATCTGAGAAATTCAATTATTTTTTTTTAAATTAATAAATTCTTTAATTCTTCGCAATATTACTCAATTATTTTTCCAAATAATAATATTTTTCACTAGAATTCAATTATTCAAAAGGAATTAAATAAAACTTTTCGCAAAAATTCAAGAATTTTATAAACAATAAAATTCTTCTGAGAAATTCAATTATTTAAAAAAATTGATAAATTCTTTAATTCTTCACAATTATTCAATTATTTTTCCAAATAATAAAATTTTTACGAGAATTCAATTATTTAAAAAGAATTAAATAAAATTCTTTGCAAGAAATCAATTATTTTCATAAATAATAAAATTCGTCTCAGAATCCGATTTTTTCGGATCGTAGGTCCCTTTTAACTGTCCGTGTCACAAATAATAAAATTTTTCACGAAAATACAATTATTTTTAAATAAATTAAATAAAATACTTCGCAAAAATTCAATTATTTTCATAAGTAATATAATTTTTATTTAGATATTCAATTATTTTTTAAAAAATTGATAAGTTTTTTAATTCTTCACAATTATTTAATTATTTTTCGAAATAATAAAATTTTTCATAAAAATTTAATTATTTAATAAAAAGTTAAATAAAATTCATTTCATTCATTCATAAATAATATAATTTTTCTCAGATATTCAATTATTTTTTATAAAATTGATAAATTCTTTAATTCTTCACAATTATTTGATTATTTTTAAAAAAATTAAATAAAATTCTTCGCAAAAATTCAATTATGTTCAAAAATTTTCAAGAATTCTCGTCAAAATTTCAATTATCTATTTTCAGAAATAATAAAATTCTTCTTAGAAATTTAATTATTTTTTTAAATATTGATAAATTCTTTATAAGAATTAAATTTTGAGAAACATTCAATTATTTATTTTTGTACTTAAATAATTGAATTTCAGTTGAACTTTCGAATAAGAATTTATTTAAAAACAAATTTCAGTTGAAATTTGAGATAATAATTTAATATTAAAATCAAACGTTATAGTACTATTCTTTTAGAAATAATTAAATGTTAAAAGATTGCTAAATTGAAACCGTTGAAAATTTTAAATAACATTTAAATTTTTACTTCAAAAAATTATAAATTTATTATTTTCTTAAAACAATTTAAAATTTTAAATAATTTTATTTGTTTGCTTTTAAAAATTACTTTTAAATACAATTGTATTTTTGAAGATAAGAAATTTATAAAATAATTAAATTTTTCAATTTAGAATTAAAGTTCTCAGTGGGAGTAGAATAAAAATAAATATTTTTGATGGGTATCAGGAATCACTCAGGGAAATTAAAATTAATTTTCGATAGCTACATTTTTACTACTTTTTCTCAGTATTAAAGCTACTTTTTGATACTTTTTTTTGAAATGAATTATCGATTGTGAAGCCTGATATAGTGAAATTTGTATAGTTCAAAGTAAATCTTTATTTTTTGTATTCGAACGTATAGTAACTTTTACTCCGAAAGTAGTAAAAGTTGACAGAAATGCGCAAAAGTTACTAACAGTTTAAATTTTACTAGAAAACAGTTATTAATTTTTCGAAAATAAAATATTTTCTCACCCAGTACTGAATTCCAAACTGTCAACAGTTAAAAAATCGATGTAAGCTTTTGGTTTGTGCAATATTCTCCATGTAAGTGGATTAAAAACGGAAGTTTGATATTCCCAGGTCAATTCGATAGCTTCCGGTTTACCTACAACATCGCCGGATAAAACTACCGTGTGACTACTTCCGGGCTCATAGTACTCGGAAGTTTCGCTGATTTGTAATTTCTCGGTTTTTTTTCCATTTGCTCCAATTACCTTCATGACAAATTTTCCCACTTCGCCACCATGATCCACGCTCTCCACTGTTTTTGAAATATTTATCTTCACTCGATAGTGACCGCCTGAAATTTTTATTTAACTCTAAATCTTTACTTATATTTAAAAATGTCTTCATAGATATTTTCGAATATTGATAATTTTTTTTACACACATTTCTTAGACATTTTCTCTTTCTTAGTGATACAATAATAATAATAATATTGATTATAGAATATAGATATAGAATATAGATTATAGAAGAATTTTTTGTTAAAATCTTACGGCAGAAAGGCTTCTCTCGACCAGTCATGAGATAAACTGATGCGTGATAGTTTCCTGGTTGTGCATCAAAGCCAAACCTGGGGCAATATTGATTCACACAGTCGAAGCAACTTCCTTCTAAAAATTTATCCCAGGATTCGCAAGGCACTGCTATGTAGGGACAGGCGGTGTTTATACTCTCCATGAAGTATTCGTAACTTCTTATGTGATTACAACCGAGAAACCTTCTGATTCCTGTGAAAATAGTTCTTTATAGTATATGTGATTTGTGGCAACCCTGAATTATTTGTTGTGATAAAATTATTGCAATACCTCTGAAGAAGCTTCCTCGCTCGAGGGAAATAGAATTTAGCACACCTTCATCGCAACCCGGTTGATTACGACCTCCATTTGGATAAAAGTCAATGTGACCAACAGGTTGAGTGATTCCAAGACCTCCGCTAATAAAAGGATTACAATCGGTATGTAGGGCTGTGACAAAATCAGCATCTGTTGGATCAAGTCTCACCATTGGTGAGGTATTACTGAAATGTGGTTCCGCTGGATCTAAACCTGTAAACAGTATAATAATTAATTTTCTCTTCTTAAATTCCTTTCTTAAAAAAAGCTATACTACAAATTTCGAAATTCGGAATAAAGTATAATCTCTCTTTTCACAATAAAAATTCCATTTTTGAAACTTGGAATTTTTGCAAACAGTTGCATATGCGCACGTCATCATATCAGTAGGCCATTCTTAAATTCAATTTGCGAAAGTGCGGAAATAATTTTTCAACTTTGTAAAATGTTGAGTAAGCGATATGTTATGAGAATATATCGTTATACTTTAGAAACTACTATGTATATTATAAAATAATCCTGATCATTTGCGAATTTACTCTCCAACTTTCCAGCATTTTCGCACGGTTTTAGTTTTACCAATATTATTATGTAATATTTGATCATTTATAAAGTATGCTTCCTATTTAAAAGGGAATTTTGTTATGTTAAATGCTATAAGGAATTAAGACCGATTAGGTAAATTTAATTAAATAGCATTAACCTCGTGTTTGTTTGTTGTTAACCAACATTATCTTCCTAAGAATATTGATGTTAGCTATTTCTAGGCTTGTTAACATATTTTCGTAACAATATGATTTAGTGAATTGACTACAATTTTAAATTTGTCTTGACTTTTCTGACGAACGGTAAATATGATTGAAGACAAGTTTTCCTTGGGCATTTACCCTGACCTTCCATATAGTTTCTGTAATGTAGTTCTCGAGTCGCAACGTTCATTTAACTCCGCGTGTAAAAGGAACAGTTATACAGATTATGTTACTCAGGTGAAATGAAATGCAGCAGGTAAAGTGGATAACTATCCTTCTGCTTCGTTTCTTTTTCGCCAGATAGCAGTATTTTACAGGATCGACAATTATTTTGTTCTTATGGTTTTTGATAAGAATTTGTTTAGTTCTTTTGTAATTGTAATTATAGTTCTCTTAAATAGACTACACCAACACCAATTATTAGAATTTAGAAAAATTACCTGTTATTCTTCCTAATCTGTAACCGTATTGAATCCGAAGATGATATCCAACATATCCAGCCGTATGGGCACCCAAACTGTGTCCAATGATGTGAAGTTTGGCGGGTTTCACTTTCGCTACTTCAATTAATTGTGAAGCTAATCGTGCAGTCATTGCGCCAACTAATCTTGTATTTGCCACAGCTTGTGTGTATGGTGGTCCAGCACCTCCCAACCAATTTACAACCACGACATTACAATCTTCTCTGGTTAACAATTCTCTTGTCATTCTCTATAAATTATCCAAATTAATTAGAAAGAAATTACAAAATGTTTGATGATGAAATTAAATAAAAACACTTGGGATTTGTTAATGTTAATAGTTAATACTATACGGTTAGAGTATTATAAAAGAATTAGCTTATATTGTAAAGGAACATCTGAACTTAAAGTCCATTATTTTTTTTATATATTATGTTTATTATTATTTTTTATTATTAAATAACTTACCATGACCCATGTTTTATCTCCGTTATCGAGATAACCGTGAATTATAAAAAAAATCGTCGAGTCTTTCTTCAGAGGCGAATTTTGTATAGTTTCCTTTTTATCAATAATTAAAGAATGTGGTTTATCGGGTTGCTCTCGATTGTAAAGTATAAATCGTGGATTGATATTGTCGGGTCTCATTGGAAATGTTGAGACTGGACGATTATCTCCAGACCATGGAGCTCCGATGTAGAAGCATCCGTATGGTTGATAGCATCTCCACATGTACCATTCTGTAATTTAAATCTCTTGTCAAGTTAATTTAAAATTACTTAAAGTTTTGAGTTAGTTTGAAATTATTTTTTAATGTTTTAAATTACTTTAAAATTATCGAAAAGTTTCGAGTCAGTTAATTTAAAATTAACTTTCAATGAGCTAATTTATAAAATATATCAAAGTGCAGGAAATTAATAGCAATAGATTGGATTAAAAATAAATATTTATAATTTTCACGTGTGCTTTAAATGCGGAGGGGAAATTTTATGAATGCTTGGCGCGGATAATATGAAATAAAAAAAAATATATTAATGGGGAAAAATTATTGTTGAAGATTTGTCTATATTTAGTATTGACATGTGCGATGTCTGATAAAGTGAATTACCATTGACCGGTATATTGAAAAGTCTGACGCGTTGCCATTCTCCGAGGGGTTATCGGCATTGACAAGATAATACTCTTTACAGACCAAAAGATTAATGTCAACATGACTGTGAATGTTCATCAGTTCCTTAAAGCACGTTTTATGTTGTGTCTCCCAATATTGCTTATACACTATATAGCAAGATGATTAATTCGGCACGGTTGCGATTGCAGCTACAATCAATTGTTGTCACAAGTATTACGTATTATACACCAAGATTTCGAATTTCTCAATTCTTGATATATTGGGCTTCTTTTTTTTCATTATACACTATAATACCAAATAAATATTTTTGGTTTTCATTTCATTAATTAAGTAAGGTTAATTTTTTTATCATTTTCATTTTAATCTTCATTTTAAAAATTAATCTTCATTTTAACTTGAAAAATGTTTAAAAATTATTTTTAATAACAATAGTTGTTAATATTTAACAGTTGTAGTGGTGGGAGAAAAATTCTATGCAATAAAATTTCAAGAGTTAATATAGAAAATAACAAAACATTGCTTCACTTCTTTAGTTCTTTGGCACTTGTGGAAAATTTCCATTTTAATTAAAAACGTATGAAGAAATCAAAATGTCACTCTTCAATTTATAGAGTTTTTCTCTTTTTTCTTCGACGTTTTCAACTCTTGTGCAAAATGGCAATAGATTTGTACGTATTGTGTTGAAAAATATTTTTCATTTTCTTCTAAATAAAATATTTACAAAAATTGACTTCAAATTAAATTAATAAATTTAAAAAAAACACTTGTTTTCGTTTCTCTGGAAGTAATTAATAAATTTACTTAATTAAAATATTATTATGTATACATTTCAAGAATTCAGGAGAATATTTTTTATGTATATTATTAATAGATAATATTATATGTGTATACAGTTTCGTTATTAAAAAAAGTGTATAATTTATAAACGCTGAAAGTCGAATTAAATGTTTGTGAAAATTATTGAAAATTATGAAATTTTCTTCTTTTTTTTGAAGATAAATAATAATTTGTGTGTGCTGTTTGCTTAATCGCGTGTATTAGTTTCTAGAAAATTATGAAAACTTCAATGTTAATTACTGACCTCTTTTTAACATTGCTGTGTTTTGTCGTATGAAATATTGCCTTTTGCAATTTGTAGTTGTTAACTGTTGCAATTATTGTGACGATGTTTTGTTGCAATTTATCATGTATAGCAAATGGATTTATACAATAGAAACGTTTTTTAACGAATTTTTGAAAATTTTAGTTTATATTTTTATTGTTTTCTTTAATTAATTTTTTTTTATACTTATCGTCATAAATTATTATTTTTATTACAATTTACTTTTTATTTTAACTCTTTACTCTCTAAATTTATTTTAACTTATTTAATTTAACTTTACTCTCTTCTTACTTTAAGTAAGAATTTTTACTAATTTTCAGTTATTTCTCACTACAAAATTAAAAAAAATTTTATAAAAATTAGTGAATTTTTTACTAATGTGAGTCAGTGACTCAATTTTTAGTATAGTTCAGATTTGGAGAGTATTTATTAGCAAAAGGATTTAATTATTTTAACATTTTAAATTAAATTTAATTATGTATTCACATCTCAATATTTTAATTGTTTGTTGACATTTTTATTTTTTTGTTAATATATGTTAACTATGTATTTATTTGTTAATATTTATTAATTATTTATTTAAATTGCTTGTTCATTTGTTATTATTTACATATTATTGCAATTTTTATTATACGTTTTTCTTTAGTAATATTAATTATGAAAATTTTTTGTTTTTTTCAGGTTCATTTTAATAGTGATTGTGTGATTTTCATTGTCTTCATTCATCGCCTACAAGGTTTGACAAGGTACAAATTTAATAATTATTATACATTTATTTTATTTGATATGATTTTTTATCAACTTTTTGATATTTGACATTTATTGCACTTTTCTTTATTATGCATTTTTAAGAATTTATTTTTTAAATTAGAAAAAAAAAATTGATATGGTAAATTATTATAATACACTCACCGTCTTCGAAATCGAATTTATTTTCCTGCTCTTCGGGCGAAAGAGTCGTAGTCGTTGAATTAATTCGATCCACATGATCTTCAATTTGATGATTATCGGATTTTGTTTCATTGGGAATTGTAGACATAATATTCGCGGTGTACATTAACATCAACAAAGTATCATTTAAAAACATGTTGAATTATTGTTTAATTATCCGTTTGTAAATTTGAACAAAAATCACTTTTTATCACTTTCACTTTTTAATTATAGCGATTATTCATTAAAAATTTTCGCTTTTATTTATTTAATTTTCTATTCTCACTTGAAATATAATTTTTATTTAACACTTTATTATTATTTTAAATAATTATTGTCTTTAAATTTATTATTTTAATTTTAACTATTGTTTTTTTATTTTATTATTTAATTATTTTTTTTCAATTTTATTATTGAAATATAATTTTTATTAACACTTTATTATTGTTTTAAATAATTATTGTCTTTAAATTTATTATTTTAATTTTAACTATTGTTTTTTTATTTTATTATTTAATTATTTTTTTTCAATTTTATTATTGAAATATAATTTTTATTAACACTTTATTATTGTTTTAAATAATTATTGTCTTTAAATTTATTATTTTAATTTTAACTATTGTTTTTTTATTTTATTATTTAATTATTTTTTTTCAATTTTATTATTTTAACTATTGTCTTTTATTTTATTGTTTTTATTATTTTCTTAAATTTTATTATTTTAATTAATGTCCTAAGTTTTATTATTTTAATTAACTATTGTCCTGAATTTGTACTATTTAAATCTTCTTTAATCTTAATTATTTGTTTTTCTTTTGTTGTCTTTGATTGGCGAACTAATTAATTCTCACTTTATTTGTAATTTTTTTTCGCCGTTTGTATTATAATTACTGTTTAATAATTTAATTGTTGTCCTTCTTCATCACACTGTAACTTAGTTGTTTTAATTAATTTTTAACTGTAATTAATTTATTATATCACAAGCACTGCTTTTTAATTTATTTTTGTAAAAAAACTTTAAGTTGAATGATTCAACAGGCAGGTTTTTTTTATACTTTGGGGGATTGTAAAATGTGACACTTTCTTTTTGAACGAATTGTTATTTATTTTTTAATTATTCGAATAATTATTTAAATTGACATTATTTTCTAATAAACAATAGAGCGCTTAATGTGTGAACATTCGCTCGTGACTTGTAACTGTATGTACCAGATACTCTCGAGTCGTAAGATAGAGACATCGTGAAAAATCGATTGACGCAAGTCGGGTTGGTGATAGTGCTCTCGGGAGCAGAGGCTTCGTTGATTATTTTTTTTTTTAAGAAAGAAAAAGAAAAGAAAGAAGGAAAAAAAATAGTAATAAGCAATCGACAAATGAATGATCATTGATTGACTCAATTATTGTTTCTTTTTGCTTCTACGAAACGTTTTGCTGTAGAAACAAAATATTTTCGCACTATTTCTTCTTTTATTTGTTTAGGGATTTTTTTTCACTGATGCTTGAATCTGTAATTGAGAGACAAAAATTAAAATTAGTTCATGAAGACTGAGAATTTAATTATTTTTAATTTTTTATCTTCCTTATTTATTTATTTTTTGCTAAAGTTAGCTAATGAAAAATAAATAAATTCGAAATAAACAAAAAAAAATAATAAATAAATGAATGAAATGGAAATTAGGAAAAATAAATAACTAGTAAATAAATTAGAGGTAAACAAATCAAATAACAAATTAATAAAAAATAAAATAAATATAAATAAAATATGTAAGAAATAATTAAAATATGAAAAAACGGAATAAATAATAAATAACTAGTAAGTAAAATAAATTGGAAGTAAAGAAAGCAAATAGGAAATAAAGAAAATAAAAAATGAATAAAACAATTAGAAATTAAACAAAATAAATAGGAAGTAAATAAAACAAATAAATTAAATAAATAGGAAAAAATTATGCACAATATTATTGAGTCTGATTTGATGAGAATTGAAAAAAAAAATAATATTCACATTAAGAGACAATGTGATGAAAGAATATTGGTCCATGTTGCTTGAGAGTGAAATTTTACAAATGAAGACATAGATCCAAGGTTAGAATGATGAGTCCAAGGTTATTGTTGTTGTAATAAAAACTTTATACATTATAATGGAAATTACAAAATGTAATAAAAAATATTATTAACTTCCCATTTACCTGGATTCATCTTCTTTGATTATTATTATTTTTTTCCCTCCTTTCTCTAAGACTCTCGATCCAAGAGAATAATGTGATCTTTGGATGATGAAGATTCGAGGTCAAGGTCACAAGACTTAATTGATAATATAATTGATACTATAATTAATTTGTAAACGCGTGCTAGACTCTGAACAATCTAAAGAGTGACTGATGCGTGTCGTCATTTATACGCGAGTAGTGTAGTCCGCGCTCTCATCTTCATCCCTCCATATTTGCTTCATCTCTTTCTCCCGATAAAAATACACACACATTTATATATATAAGAAATGCAAAGAGACGAAGAAGTCACGAACCTGAGAGTATATAAATATATATAGGGATATACAGTTCGTGATTAGGGAAATAATAATTGTGATGAATTGTTTCAAAAGAAACCGCAGGAATATTTTTTTTTCTTTTTCGAAATGTAGAGAGAAAGAAAGGACTAAATTTCAAAGGGACCGCTTTTTTTTTCTTTCACTCATACTTGTATCAACATGATACCTTTTCTTGGAATGAAATTGTAGAGACAGGTTTCTTTTCTTTGAAGAACACTGTAATTAGACTTCTCGATCTTCCACTTGATAATCGTACGGTTTCTTTCGATTGTATTTTTTCTTTTTTTGGTTTTAAAGAAACAGGGAATGACAATTGTTTGAAATATTGGGTATATTTAATACCAAGAAAAATTGTACGTAAATAAAAATTTTATTTATTAAATTTATACAATTTATCCTCTACCACAGGTCAGGGAAATCAGGGAAAAGTCAGGGATTTTTGTTAAAGTACTGAAAAAAATTAAATTTTATGGAGAAGTTACAGATGATTGCAGAAATTCAATTATTTTCAAAAGTAATAAAATTCTTCGCAGAAATTCAATTATGTTCAAAAATTTAAAAAAAAAATTCTAATCAACACTTAAATTACAGTTAAAAATAATAAAATTTTTCTTCAAAATTTTTTTAATTTAGAAAAAATTTTTTTTTTACATTTTAGGTAATAAATTTTTGGCGAAATTTCAATTATTTTCAAAAAAATTTCTTCAATTCAATGATTTTCAATGTCTAGTATTTTAATAAAATTTTCCAAAAGAATCCAATGATTTACAAATTTTTTTATAAATTTCTTCGTAATAATTCAATTATTTTCGTAAATAATAAAAATTTCACAGGAATTCAATTATTTTCAAATTTTTTTAAATAATTTTTCGCAATAATTCAATTATTTTTATAAATAATAAAATTTTTTTACAGGGATTCAATTATTTTCATGAATAATAAAACCCATCGCAAAAAATTTCATTAAAATTTGTCGAAACAATTCAATTATTTAAAAAGTTGATAAAAATCTTTATAAGAATTCAATTTTGAGAAACAATCGTTTATTCAATAAACTATTTATTTGCATATTTAAATAATTGAATTCTAGTAGAAATTTCTAATAAAAATTGATTTTCATTTCATAAAAATGAATTTCAGTTAAAATTTTAGATAATAGTTATTTTTTTTGAAAAAGTTTAATTGAATTTTTTTAAAATTATTATAAGTTTTTATTTTCTATTAATTGAAGAATTTACGAATAATAGAAATTTCGTTAAATTAAATTGTAAATAAATGGATTTGAAAATTCTCAAGGAACTTTTGCAAAACTTAATAAAAATAATTGATAATTGAATTAATTCAAAGAATTTTAATAGAATTTTTGAAAATAATAACATTTTTCGAAGAAGTTACTTAAAATTGCATTAAAAATAATTGAAATCCAGTGAGGAATTTTATTATTTACGAGAATAATTGAATTCTTGCAATGAATTTTTATTACTTTTTTTAATAATTGAAATCCTGTGAAGAATTTTATTATTTATGAAAATAATTGAATTCTTGCAACGAATTTTATTACGTTTTTTTTAAGCAATTGAATTCTTTTGAGAAATTTTATTAAAATAGTAGATTTTGAAAATATTTGAATTTCAGAGATGAATTTCATTATTTATGAAATGTAATTGAAATTGAATTCTTGCAAAAAACTTTTGAAAATAATTACATTTTTCGAGGAATTTATTTAAAATAATTTTTTGTAGCAACCATGATAATGTAACTTTTACTATATTTATATATTTTTGTAGTAAAATTTAAACTGGTTAAAAATTTCTGCTCACTTAATTGGTAATTTTTACTATACTTTCGGAATAAATTTTAGTTAAAAATTTAGAACGATAAGAATTTTTGAAAAAGACTTTAAATAAAAAAATCCAATAAAATTATAGATGAAGATGTATAGAAAAGGTTGTAGAATCATAAAAATCACCAAAATAATAATATGCTTATGATTATGAAAAGAAATTATTGTGCAATTTTGTTTATTACAAATAGTTTCTTATTTTTCGAGAGTAATATATTATTTACACATGTTTTGTGTACAAAGTTTAATTATTTAAATTCGATGAAATATCTTTGTGGTGAATTTTATGTATATATACATAACGTTTCAAGTGGACTTTTGACTTGTTTGTATCAATGCGATGAATTACGATAAGCAAAATAATGAGTTATCGTGAATTTAACATAGAAAAACATTTGCATTTAATCGTATTTTTTGGTATATATGGTGTTTATTCTTTATGTTTTTAAATTCCATTTGCAATAATATATAAAACAGAATATTTCCTCTATGAGAAAGAAAAAATTCTCAGGGCATATTTTGTGTTTAATTTTCATTTCTTTTTTTTAAAACCAACTTTATTCTTTTATTTCACTTTACATACATACTTTACATACAAAAATTATTCTAAGCTAATTAGTTTATTGTTATTTTAATAACATCGTAACTTACATTTCACTGTGCTTTTGGTGTAATTAATTTTTTATTCACTCGCTGCTTTTTATGTTTCGTAAAATTAAGTTCGTTTTTTTGTAATTAGGATTATTATCATACTCAAAAAAGAATTAAATATTTATAAATTTATTATTTCTAAAAATATATTCTAAGATAATAAAAAATTTTACTAAGTTGTCGTATAAAATTGTTAGTAAGCAGAAGATATAGTTCACTCAAAAAATAATTTTTCATCTTCTGCTGATTATCGGCTGTGGTAACTTTTTAGAAATTTTGAATTAAATTAATTTTTGTAACCTAGATATTAATTGTAATGGTTCTAGCAATTGTTTAGGACCAGGAAAAAATTTTGTGACTAAGAATTGTTAGTAAGCAGAAGATAAAGTTCACTAAGAAAATATTTTTTCATCTTCTGCTGATTATCGGCTGTGGTTACTTTTTATGAAATGCGAATTAAATTAATTTTGATGACCTAGATATTAATTGGAATTGTTCTAGCAATAGTTTGTAATTCTTATGAACTTTTTGGTATTTGGAAGTTTAAAGAAATTTTTAGAGTGCAAAGTCTTAAAAAAAGAATTTGGAAAGTGTAAAAAATGTTTCCACCTTCTCTCGCCCTCTTTTGGCTTCTCTTTTCCTTTGAATAGAATTCTTTTCCAATCGGCTCTCTTTTCTATTGAATATGTGTGCCCATTGTACTCAATTTTCCAAAAGGGACTTAAAAACGAGCGGATATCGATATATATGGGTGTATGCTGTATACAATATAAAAATGGGTGTGTGTGTAGGATGGTCGTTGTGTCGAATTCTAGCGCTCTCGGCGGGGGATATGAGCAGAGGGTGCCAGCTTGCGTATTATATTTCTCAACATCCCCTTAAATTCTGACCCCTTAAACTTGTAAACACCCCTTGGTGATATATAAAAAAAAGACCTCCAGTATCGACATACTGTCCTATTACATTACACCCTTAACATCGCTCTCTAAATGTTAGAAAATCAACCCACTTCTCTAGCGTGCACACGTACACATGTTGTTGGGGGTCATTTTCAAACTCCTATCTAATCCTGTCTGCTTGATAGGACATTCGTAGTTTGCTATTACCACAGGGATGTTAATTTCCATTCTCATGGAGGGAAACACGCTAAACACTGTACATGTGTACTCTACTACGCGTGTATCGAGAGATGCTTCGCTCTATCTGATCTTCTTCAATTCTTTTTTATTTTATTCTGAATTTCTTTTTTCCCCACTATTTGCTGTTTGGAAAAAAATTATGGAATTGTTGGAAGTAATGAGACAGTATTTATTTGATAATCAACGAATAAATTAACTGCGATTCATTAATTAACTAATTAACTGACTGGTTAAGTTATAACTATTTGATTGACCTATAATCATAATTATATAACTTAGGGCCGATTTCACCAACACCGATTAAAAGTTAATCAATGATTAAATCCTCAATTAACCAATCAGAAGCCTTTAAACTGTCTTTAACCATTTGATTAACTTTTAATCGGAAGTTGGTGAAACTGGCTCTTAATTAGTTATAATTAATTAGTATTAATAAAATAATTAATACTAATTCATTATATATTAATTAGTATAACTCATTAATTAACCTTATTAACTAATTTATTACTTTCTAAATCTGAATTATTGAAAAGTTGTACATTGATTTAATTTAGCAAAAAAGACTACTGATTCTTAGTAATTTTCCACTAAAACTTAAGTAAAATTTCCACCAAAAATTCTAATGTATTTTTAGCAATTAATTAGTTATATTTTTTTAATATATATTTAGTTAATTATTAAAAATAATGGATTAATAGAAGAATTTTAGTTCAAAAAACACTTAAAAAATTGAATTTTAGAGAAATTAGAAATGATTGCAGAAATGCAATCATTTTCAAAAGTAATAAAATTCTTCGCAGAAATTCAATTATATTAACAATTAAAAAAAAATCTCGTCAAAATTTCAATTATCTTTATAAGTAATAAAATCCCTTTACAAAATTAAATTTCTTTAAAACATTTTAATAACATTCTTTGTCAAATTTCAATTATTTTCAAAAATTTTCCTCAATTCTTTATTTGTTGATAAAATTCTTTATGAGAATTTAATTTTAAAAACATTCAATTATTCAATAAATTATTTATTTTTGTATTTAAATAATTGAATTCTCGTCAAATTTTCTAATAAAAATTGATTTAAAAAATAAATTTCAGTTAATATTTTAGATAATTAAATATTACAAGCATTATATATAGGGTGAATTTTTTTTTTAGAAATAAATGAATTTTAAGAAAGTTTTAAATTTAAATCTTTCAAAAATCTGATTTTTTCTAATACTTTTACCCAACAATTCTGTAGAATTAATTTTTTTTTTGTAATTTATTTTCACAAGCAATAACATTTTTTTATAAAAATTCAATTATTTATGAAAATTTAAAAAAAAATTTAGGCAAGAAAACAATTTTTATTTTCGCATAAATAATAAAATGCTTCTAAAATATTCAACTACTTTTAAAAGTTTTAATAAAATTCTTCAAAAGAATTTAATTATATTCCCAAATAATA